CCTTGTTGGTCCCTAAACTTTCAATTATATTCAATTTGATCCCAAAACTTTAGATTCCATTCGGTCCCTATTTTCAATTTTTCTTATTACAATTTAGTCTGGGGAGCTCTCTCCTATTATTTTCTTTAAAAAGAGAATAGAAACAAAGTCCGCTACCATTGGAGCAAAATTGTAGAGATAAGCTTGATCAAATGGAGGGGCAAAAGCTAAAAGAAAATTGCATCGCCTCACATATGCTAACAGTGTTAGGTGGCGAAACCTTGTATTCTCTAATGGCATTTAAGCTATTGGATCAACTACTTGTTATTCTTGATTTTGATGGATGTAAAACCAAATGTGAATGAGAATATATGCTTGGCTTATTTTTAGTGATGTTGATATTATTTTCATAAATTCTCCAATATTGTGTTTGAATACATTTCCCTTTACATTGGAAGCCTATTTAATTGTGTAATTATCTATTCAATATATTTCCTTTTGTGATGAATAGTAAAAACATAAACTATGTTCTAAGGTGAGGTTCCAACCCTATCAACAGAGTTTGAAACCCTTAAAGGTTCTGTTTTGGGCAATAACTAGGCAAAATTTTCAAGTTCCAACCCCCAAATCTCAGGGTGTAAAACCACAAAAGCTACTATCCACTAAAGAAAATAGCAGAGGTTTCAACCCTTAAAGGCAAGTTCCAACCCCTCATGCTGAAGATTTTGATTAACTTACCATACTTAAAATATATTCCTTCTAACCATGCTCCAATGGTCATAATCCTTCGATTGAGCAATTTTAAAGAATAATTATCAGACTTTGAAGTAGAGAAGAATACAGAAGAAGAAGAAGAAGAAGAAGAAGAGCTTTGAACCTTAGAAACAAAGAGAGATTGAGCTTCCACTTTTGTTCTTTGAGAAATCAACTCTTTTCTATACTCGTTCTTGTTTTCTTTTATTGTAACAAGTGAGAGAAGGATTGGGAAAACTTGTTAGATCTAGAAATATATCCTTGAGATATAGAAGGATTAAGAGTTTTGTAACAAGAGGATTAAGCAGTTCAATAGCACTCATAAGCTATTGGAAAAATGATTGGGGAACCTTGTTAGATCTAAAGAAAACAATTCTTGTGGTATAGAATTGGGTTTGTGAGAAATTGTAACAAGGTTGAATTGTTAAAGGTGAATAACACCGATAAAGCTATTCCAAACGGTTGTCTCTACACTCAAAAGTTGGAGGAGAGCTTTTGAATTCAAAGCAAACTCTCAAGCAAGCGGCTTAAGGAGTGAATTAGGCACAAATTATGATCAAACCATTATAAATCCTTGTGTTGAGCTTCCTCTTCTCTTAACTTTTAACTTTTACACTGTAAATTATTTGTTTGTAATTGCTTGTGAATATTCATTGTTTTGTACTTGAAAATTGCATAAAGTTTTTGAAAACCCAATTTACCCCCTCTTGGGTTGCCATCATCTGGGCCAACATTGTTGAAATGTTTAAATCATTTCAATTCAACTTATTTTGGTTTGAATATATAAAATGTGAGTTGAATAAAATAATACTGATGTGAAAGAAACTATGCTTAATTACTTGCATTGGAAATGAAGTGTTTTTGTTACATGTTCTGTTTGAGGGTTAAATAAAAATGTCTTCTCATCCAATAATTTTTGTTTTGATTTGTAATATGATACAATGCATACTACAAAATAATAAATTCATAACAGAAAGTTAATGAAAATTTTCATTATTCAAATCTTTCCTTCATGCATACATTAATCTGACTTTTTTTCTATTATTGAAATTTTCTTAGTATCGCAATTATTAATTGACATACAGACGTTTCAAGAAAAGTTACGAGGAAAGATGTATGGATGGAAGGGATTCCATTTGTGGGCTTCCTGATAGTGGTGAAAGTGTGAAACCCACTTTCAAAACTAAAGGTGTGAGCTTTAAATAGAGAAAAAGAACTAGAAAAATTGAAATCAAAAGTTAAGGCTGAAAATTTGGAAATGGGTGTAGGGTTGAATGGGTACAGCGCCTCTACAAAAAGTTAGCGTGGCCAACCATTAACACCATCTTTTTCCTTAATCAGGACAAACTTTTTTCAAACACAATGTTTGTTATCCTTAATAGTGCCTTAGAATTGATTGAATTGGAATAAATATAATTACATTTCTCCATCAATGATTGAAGTTTTGAAAAATGGCCTAGCTAGCTAGGTTGAATCCTATCATATCCTACCAACCCAATACGCCTTTTTACTATCGCTAATTGCTAAAATATCCATTTGTTCTAGGAAAAATAGCTTATTTAAAAAAAAAAAATAAAAACTTCAACAATCTGTTTAGATTAAGAATATATTTTGTAAGACGATGAGTGAAGGATGGTCTCCTCTTCCTCTAAGAATAAAAAAGGTGGAAAAAAGACGGAGGGCTTGTAGAGCCCCTCTGCATGGCCTCAATCCCCTTATTTGCAATCCCGATGTTGAGGAATCGGGAAGGATTGATTCTTTTTAACTTTAACGTTTTTTGTTTTTTTCAAAGTATAACTAATTCTTTTAGTTATATATTTATTTGGTAAAAATTATATAGTGATATTTTATTTTGAGAATTCAAAAAATTAGAATATCATGATATTTAAGACATTTATTACAATCAATTATTGATTGAGTTTCAAGGGTAAGGTTTATTCCTGAATGATTGTGATGAACGTTCTGAATATCATGACATCCTAATTTTTATATTACTGTTTTATTTTATTGTTTCTAAACTCTTTAATTAAATAAAAAAATATAATAACCTCATTCCCTCAACTTCCCTTTTTTATTCATCCAGGCAAAACTAAAACTCATATTTTTTTCTAACGCCAAATGTTGTTTTAGAACTGCACCAAATTGATTAGTCCAGTTGGTTGAACTGATGACCCGCTAGAGAAATGGTTTGTGTTTTTAATTTTAAGAATACGTAGATATAAATGTCACTTTTATTATATGGTAATTCAAGTGAAATTTGAGAATAATTATAAGATATTTAATATAATTATGGTACTTTTTAGTAACATTATATGGAGAATTAATTTAACAAGGAGTTATATTATATGTATTGTGCTTATCAAGAAATTTAAAATATATTAATTTAATTTAACCGAGCTTCAACTTCCTCAATGAATTTTTTTTAGAGGTCTACTAGATATTTATTTGAAATTTTAAAAGGTTCATTTGGTATTTGTTTAAAATTTATTGAAGATTTTAATAATTTTTAAATATAATAAAATATAATTAAATTTGAATTTAAACTATTATGCAATTAAAGTTTTCGAACCAATATGGAATTGAAGTATAGGAAAGCAAGTTATTGGATTGATTATTATTATTATTATTATTATTATTATTATTATTATTATTATTATTATTATTATTATTATTA